TTTTTCATAAATTAAACCTCCTTACTTCCTCTTATAGCATGGTTTCAACATTCAGGCTGCCCTCTTAATGAGTGTGCTCCATTTTGTCTTTGTTCCTTTTAAACTACAGTACATGAAACTAATAGACTACTCCACATATAGCTCAGACAGTGAATGTGGACACGCTTATTCTGTCCTCGTCATGTTAACATTTTTTTTTGTTTATAGTTTAATGATATGAAATGATTAAGACAGATCTCGCACAGATCCTTACACTATAGTATAATAACGCTAGAATAGAGGCAACTGCTAAGCGCTCTGGGTACCCTAGTGTGTGACTGTGGAGGAAACCATCTGCTCTTCCAGGAGTGTCTTGTTCATTGTTATGTCTCATCCCTGGACCTGAAACAGTCCTCCTGCATATCAGGCGCTCAGTAAAAACTTGATTCTTAAGAATGAGCTGGTTTGAAACCAAACCCAAGTAAAAGAAGTGTTATTTCCCCAAATACAACCTGTTGCTCTTTAAAAAAAATGAATTGGTTTGTAGATTCTGTGTTCACACATTAGTCTACCTGCAAGTCTACTGCATGTATCTGAGCGGTACAAAAACTGTGGCCAACATCATCTTTGGCATCATAATCCACAAATGTTTGTTATATTCCCATCCTGCTGTAAAAAAGAATTAGAACTTAGGCCCTGTGGTCCAGGAGCTGATGTGATGAAGAGGTGTCTGGTTAGCTGTTGTCTCTGGCACTTTTAGCCAAGAAGCCACTGTAAGAACAGAGCACAGATAGAACAGAAAAAAAAATCTTGGAAAAAAATTAATGGGATATGCTAGTAAAATGTCCAGAACAACTTCAAATGCCAAAAATTTGTCTTACTCCCCAAAATATCTTTATATCCATAACTCATATTTTTCTTTAATGTTGTTAAAGTTCACACCAAAAAATGTTCTTAAGTCCAGCAGGTTTTGTGTTAAAGGACCCATCCAAAGAGCATTTGACATTTTACCTATGTCATCGTAGGTCATGTTTAACCACCAC